GCGGGGACCGCCAGGGGGGGCCTGGCTGACAACTGGGGTGAGGGTGGGGGGGTCGCCGCCTGGCCAAGCCGCGGCTGGCAGCGGAGATCCCGCGAGGGGGAAAGGGAGAGGGAGGCTGAAACGAAAACGTACGCGATCCTCCAGCGTCTTTGCGGTCGGATTCGTGTGGGAAACACTGATTTGGGGAGGGGAGCATTCTTTTCCCATTAAAAGTGAAGTATCTGAAATTGCTATTCTATCCCGTTCCAATCAGCCCCCTTCCGTCTCTCGTCCTGCTCCCTAATTTAAAGGAAAAGTAGTTTCAGATTGGAGCGGCCGGCTCCCCTGGCGGAGTCAGGGACTTTTGTTTTTAGCTTTGTAACTTGAGTGACATCTCATTTGGGTTCGGTGGGGGCGGTCTTAATTGCTTAAAGGCGAAGGGAAGAGGGTCGAGGGAGGCAGGGAAGAAAGATGCCCAAGTTCCCTAAAGAAAGCACGTCAGGAACAAGGCCCAAAGACATTTCAATAAAAATTTATTGAAATTTCAATGACGTTTTCAAGGGGGAGGGATGATACAGAAAACCAAAGAACTCATCGATTATAACACAAAATATACCTTCATGAGCTTTTGTCTTTTAAACCATCTCAGCACCTGACTTTTGAACTGTGAATAGATCTCTCTAAAGGCACCAATGCAAAACAATAGTGAAGACAGTAGTCAATTCCACTGCGTTTGGACGATATCAGAGACTAGCAAATACAAATACAAGAGAAAAATTAGGAAGTCAAGAAGCCGCAGCCTCGGCAACCCCCACCCCGAGGCCCCCCTCCCCCCCCAAGCAACCTCAGAACCACAAGGTGGGGTGTTACATTTTAAGGAATTTAAGGTGGAACTGGGAAGTGGCACCACCACCTCCCCAATTCTGGGTAAAACAGGCAATAACACTTTCCCTCATTCTTGGACATTAAGTTTTTTGTTTTGTTTTTTTTTTTTTTTTTTTTTTTGCACACAACCGTTTAGAAAGTGGTTGGTGTTGGTGCAGAAAGTGTTTCCTAGTTTCAAAAGCGATCCTGTGACCTTGAAATAAAACTGCCTGCAGGGAATCCACACAAAACTGGACAGCTGCGGATCCTATTTACAGAGCTATGTACAATGTCAATAAATTAAAGTTTAATTTTCCGAGCATTCATATTCCATCTATTTACAAGAGTTATCAAATAATTACATAAATACTTTGCTAATAGTCTCGCTTCTTCTTTATTATTTTTTTTTAAACCTTGTTATTGCATATACAGGAAAGAGAAAGAGCCGCCAGAGAGAGAGAGACAGGCAGGCAGGAATCCTGCTATGGAGCTTAGAGAAAATAAACTCATGTTTTCGTGTGTCTTCCCACCCCCTTCCCTTTCAATCCGCCGCCAACGAGAGCTGGGGAGGGGGTGTGGGACCATGTTCTTCCCCCTCTAAAAGCAAGCATTCAAAAGGAAAAACCACAAGTACATGGCTGTGGGACATGCAAGGAGAGGCCTACAGTGGCTCTTAAAACATCACAATATGAAAAAAGACACAGATTATCTTAAGAGACTAAACACGGCGGGCTGGGGCTCCCCACCCCCACCCCGAAACAACGCTGCTTAGCCATTTATTGAGAACGGATAGGCAAGTCACTAAAAAGTTTTCATCTTTCACAAACAGAAATCATGTTAATGTACTCATTTGCCCCGGTATATATATATATATTTTTTTTTTAAATTTTACTTGTTTTTGTTTCCACTGGACACGGTGAAGGAAAAAAATATATAAAATCTGCACTGGGAGAGAAACTTTTCAACACCCTCCCGCGCCCCCCACCCCGCGGGCCTGGCTACCTTTCGGGCCCAGGCCCCCAGACCAGCCTCCGGGAGGTGCTCTGCACAAACCAGTTTTAACTCCCACCCCCACCGGCTCCGTGCAACAGACGGTTCTCAGCCCCCAGGACCGGCACCAGGTCCCGGATATATAAACCTCGGCAAGGAGACAGGGCTTGTTTCTAGCACATTCTTTCGGGGAGCCCGGTTCCCCTTCCCAGGCAGGACCGCACAAAGCCGGGGCCAACCCCACCGCGCGCTCGCTCGCGCCGGGGTTCTGTTTACATCCCACAAAGTGCACTGCAGACGGGACGGGACTGGAATGAAGAGTCCTTGCTGGGGAGGGGCCTAGGGGGACGCGCTGCGGGACCTGTCGGGCTTGGCCTCCAGGCCGCTGACCAGCCGCTGGATGCTCTGCAGTTCGCTGGTGGCCGCCTCTTTCTCGGGGCAGAGTTTGGGCGACAAGGACACGGAGCTGGAGGAGAGGGTGGAGGAGCGGCTGTTGAGTTCCGAGCCCGAGTCCACGGCC